TTAAACCTAGAAATTAGACTGGTGGGCAGTGCCAAACAACAAAAAAGGAAAGGATGTGTTGTTTGAGTTTGTGATGACATCAGAACATCTCACCACATTCTATAGAGTACGTTTGTGGTGCTCTGTGAGACAAAGGCTGTGCTTAGACCACCTCAGCTGCACATCAGTTCTGTCCCCGGGGATTTATTCCAAATTACACGGAATTTGCAGCAGCACTTGTTTCACAAAAACATCACGATCTGGAAGTTTTTCCCTTTTGCMGATGAAAATGATATCTCTGTGAGTCAGACACAGGGCTGTGACGAGCCTCAGAAATAAAAGTCTCACAAATTGAACAGGCTGCTTTCTTGAAGCGCTGTGAGATTCTAATATTTGTCAGGGAAGACTCTCAGCTTGCCAGGAAGCCACTGGAAAACAGAGACGAACAAAGCCTTCCATTTAAAGGTACAAAAATGCCATTGTCAGGAATAATAAGGGAACAACTTCAACTGTTCCAAAATACCTCTCAACCCACACACATCTCGTACACCCTGATCCACTCAGCCTGGGGAAACCTGAGACAGGCTTCGAAGCATAACTCCCTTGTAGTTTTTCCAATCTTGAATAAAATACCCTTATCAAAAACATCCCACAAGAGCCATTCCTTTTGATGAGAAAGTAGCATCCCTTTTCTGGGTAACYTCTGTTTGTTTCCAGCCATGCATTTCAGCAGAAGCACTTGAAASACTGTCAGAGAAATATTTCTGAATAATTSAGATTTTAAGAAGGCCCTGATAATACGAAAGGATTTGCAATAGGAAGGAGAGAGCCATTGAGAATGGATGAGACTCTGCAGCAGTTAATCTTTGGCATTCAAAAAATTGTGTTTATATGCCTGGGCAGCCTAAAAGGAGCTCTAAAATGTGATGGTGGAAGGATTTTATTTGGATTGCCTGGGAAAGGAGTATTTCTGTGGGAGGAAAGCTGTTAAACATCTTCTCATCCCTTCTTTCTTCTGCCTCTGGACGTCTAAAGGAGGTGCTTTGGCATTTCCAGTGCAAGGATGTGCTTTGGCATTTTCCTGTGGAAGCATGTTTAATGTTAGCCATGGAATCAAGCAGTGTCTGGGTGGAATTCCGCTTCCCTACAATATCTGGAAGCCCAGATGCTGAAAACCCCTTCAAGAGAGATCCCACTGGGACAAAGAAAGGAGTGAGGAACCAAAACACTGCCCTTTCCTCAGGATGGAAAAGCGAAAGCTGAACCCAGGATGACCCAAAGTTTGTCACCTGTGATTGCAGTGGGGACGCTCAGGGGTGGCAGATAAAGATGGGACAAAAATTCTGGGTGAAATACAGGCTGCAGTGGGGAATTCCTGCCAGGAAAAAAAAAAAAAAAAAGGCTGCTGTGCCCTGCCCATCCTCATCAGGCTGCAAGGCAGAGCTTTTTGCAGCTCCTATCATTGGGTCACTACAGAATCACAGCACACAGGTCCATGTTCCAGCCTAGCAAGAGTTTAGCTCTTTAGAAAAATAATGAAAAAGAAGAGGCAGTGCTGAGACAGGATAAATAAGGAGATAAATCACTTTGCAATACAATACAGCCAAAACCCGAAAATAAACAATTACTTTAAATCATATCAAGCACCTATCACAARCATCACATTTATACAATTGATCCATGTGTAAATTAGCCAATTAATTCTGAATTGCGACGCTAATGAAATAATAATTATCTGTTTACAATGGAATGGTACGAGTGAAAGTCTAGAAACAGAAATAAAGGCTTCAGCAAAATCCACTCAGCTCCATCACCAGTGGGCAAGGGAAGAATGGTCAATACCAGTCCTTAACATTCAAATATTGCCAGGGAGGGGGAATAAATAAAATACATAAATAAGTGAGAAATCCATGAACCTTTAATGATAGAGGCAGAGAAAGGCTCTTCTAAAACACCGCAGGGTTTTGTTTGTTTGTTTGTTTGTTTTGTAGTAAAGAATTGCAAAGTGGGGATTTCTTTTAACATTTCCAGAGGCTGATTTGATTTTTTTTGTCCTTGCTTGGCTTTCTACCATGAGTTGTTTGCCCTGAGGGACTCCAAAGGGATTAGGACCTCATAATTACCAAAGCAGTGAAAGATGGATGGAAAAGGGTGGGAGTTTCAGTACAGAATGATTTTGGTGAGTCATATCTAAATAAAATCTTCACTGGGACGGAGAAATGCACTGGGGTCTTCTACAAGAACTTTTCACTCTTCATGTAAGAGCTGCAAACATATAACACAGAGCTTCAGTCCACATCTCAGGCAGGAGCCCGAGTTAGGTGGCTATTGACTGTTTTCTGAATGAAAACTATTTTCTGTCTCTGTGGTTTGTTTTTCCTCTGTGCATTTTACCCTGGAGCTGAGGAACATTCCCAGGGAAATAGCATTTCTTTGAAAAATTCCCGATGACCTTCACTTTGCCAAGTGGTTTACACTGTTAACAAGAGCGGGAACAAGAAACATTTCTGCAGACTGTTAATTGCTGAGACCCCAACCCCAAGATGTGTGCAAGGCACATGAAATATCATGTCTGTTACAGCCAAAAATGTTATGTGACTTCTTCTATATAAATTCTCCTTCTATTTATAACCCTGGGTGTTCAGGGGGAAGCAGAACTCCTGGGGAGTTTGATTCACATAAAAGATGTCTTGCTTCAAATTGCCAAGTGGGTGTCTTTAAAACGAAATAGCAAGAAAAATCAGGGAGGTTTGATCAGGGCATTAAAATGTTTAAATACAGAGATTGTTGCCCCCA